TCCGTTTGTCAAGAAGTCCAGTATCCAATTGCGGAGAGTAGTATTGATGCCAAGGTTGCCAAGTTTAGTGATCATCCTGGAGGGAATGACTATATTGAATGCTGAACTGAAGTCAACAAACAGCATTCTTGTATAGGTGTTCTTATTGTCCAGGTGTGTTAGAGTAGGATGTAATGCTATGGAAACAGCATCCTCAGTGCTCCTGTTCTTGCTATAGGCAAATTGATAGGGGTCCAGTGTGATTGGGAGACAAGTTTTGAGGTGTGCCAGGACTAACCGCTCAAAGCACTTCATGATTGTAGATATAAGTGCTATAGGGCGGTAGTCGTTCAAACACTCTGGCTTGGAGTGTTTAGGCACCGGCACGATGGAAGTGGTCTTGAAACAAGTTGGTACAGTTGCTTGGGAAAGAGACAGATTAAAGATGTCAGTCAAAACCACAGACACCTGTCCAGCACAGGCCCTGAGTACACGTCCTGGAATGCCATCGGGGCCTGCAGCTTTACGTGTGTTGATCCGACTCAAAACAGTGCAGACTTCAGTGATTGAAAGTGTGAGGGGCTGTAAGTCTACAGAGGGTCTGGTCTTGGTGGCTGTTTCCTGGTTATCTAGTTCAAAACGAGCATAAAAAACATTCAGCTCATTGAGAAACAAGACATTAGCGGATGAAGGAGTAAGGCAGGCAGTCTGTGATATTCTGAATGCCCTGCCACATACATCGGGGATTGGAATTAGTGAAGTGATCCTCAATACTTAACCTGTAGCTACACATCGCTTTCTTGATGCTCCTTCTCAAATCAGCCCTGGATGCACTATAGGCCTGTCTGTCACCAGATCTAAAGGCAGCATCTCGGGCCCAGAGCAGGAGACGGACCTCCCTATTCATCCATGGCTTCTGATTGGGGTATATGGTAATCTGTTTTTCAGTTGTGACACTGTTAATTGTAAAGTTAATACACTGCTCAAAAAAATAAAGGGAACACAAAAATAAGACATCCTAGATCTGAATGAATGAAATATTCTTATTAAATACTTTGTTCATTACATAGTTGAATGTGCTGACAACAAAATCACACAAAAAATTATCAATGGAAACCAAATTTAGCAACCCATGGAGGTCTGGATTTGGAGTTACACTCAAAATTAAAGTGGAAAAAAAGACTACAGGCTGATCCAACTTTGATGTAATGTCCCTAAAACAAGTCAAAATGAGGTTCAGTAGTGTGTGTGGCCTCCACGTGCCTGTATGACCTCCCTACAACGCCTGGGCATGCTCCTGATGAGGTGGCGGATGGTCTCCTGAGGGATCTCCTCCCACACCTATACTAAAGCATCCCCCAACTCCTGGACAGTCTGTGGTGCAACGTGGCGTTGGTGGATGGAGTGAGACATGATGTCCCAGATGTGCTCAATTGGATTCAGGTCTGGGGAATGAGTGGGCCAATCCATAGCATCAATACCTTCATCTTGCAGGAACTGCTGACACACTCCAGCCACATGAGGTCTAGCATTGTCCTGCATTAGGAGGAACCCAGGGCCAACCGCACCAGCATATGGTGTCACAAGGGGTCTGAGGATCTCATCTTGGTACCTAATGGCAGTCAGGCTACCTCTGGCGAGCACATGAAGGGCTGTGCGGCCCCCTAAAGAAATGCCACCCCACACCATTACTAACCCACTGCCAAACCGGTCATGCTGGAGGATGTTGCAGGCAGCGGAATGTTCTCCACGGCGTCTCCAGACGCTGTCACGTCTGTCACATGTGCTCAGTGTGAACCTTTCATCTGTGAAGAGCACAGGGAGCCAGTGGCGAATTTGCCAATCTTGGTGTTCTCTGGCAAATGCCAAACATCCTGCACGGTGTTGGGCTGTAAGCACAACCCCCACCTGTGGACATCGGGCCCTCATACCACCCTCATGGAGTCTGTTTCTGACCGTTTGAGCAGCCACATGCACATTTGTGGCCTGCTGGAGGTCATTTTGCAGGGCTGTGGCAGTGCTCCTCCTGTCCCTCCTTGCACAAAGGCGGAGGTAGCGGTCCTGATGCTGGGTTGTTGCCCTCCTACGGCCTCCTCCACGTCTCCTGATGTACTGGCCTGTCTCCTGGTAGCGCCTCCATGCTCTGGACACTACGCTGACAGACACAGCAAACCTTCTTGTCACAGATCGCATTGATGTGCCATCTTGGATGAGCTGCACTACCTGAGCCACTTGTCTGGGTTGTAGACTCCGTCTCATGCTACCACTAGAGTGAAAGCACCGCCAGCATTCAAAAGTGACCAAACCATCAGCCAGAAAGCATAGGAACTGAGAAGTGGTCTGTGGTCACCACCTGCAGAACCACTCCTTTATTGGGGATGTCTTGCTAACTGCCTATGCTTTCCCCCGTTGTCTATTCCATTTGCACAACAGCATGTGAAATTGATTGTCAATCAGTGTTGCTACCTAAGTGGACAGTTTGATTTCACAGAACTGTGATTGACTTGGAGTTACATTGTGTTGTTTAAGTGTTCCCTTTATTTTTTTGAGCAGTGTTTCATCCAAGACAGAAGAGGTGTATTTATCAATGTCCATGTGAGAGTCAGAGGTAGTTTGAGAAGCAAACATACTCCAGTCCGTATGCTGAAATCGGTCCTGCAGTATATTGTCCGATTCTTCCGGCCAAACTTTAATTGTAATCAGATACAGATAATCAGAGTTGGAAGGGACCTTGTAGGTCATCTAGTCCAAGCCCCCACCCAAGCGGGAGACCCTACACCATTTCTGACAAATGGCAGTCCAAACTCTTCTTGAAAGTCTCAACTGATGGCGCTCCCACAACTTCCGAGGGCAAGCTGTTCCATTGGTGGATTGTTCTCGCTGTCAGAAAGTTTCTCCTTGTTTCCAGGTTAAATCTCTCCTTGTTCAGTTTCCATCCATTATTCCTTGTCTGGCCTACAGGAGCTTTAGAAAATAGCTTGACCCCTTCCTCCCTGTGGCAGCCCCTCAAATATTGGAAGACTGCTATCATGTCTCCCCTGGTCCTTCTCTTTACAAGACTAGCCAAGCCCAGTTCCTGTAACCATTCATTGTATGTTTTAGCCTCCAGTTCCCTAATCATCCTGGTTGCTCTTCTCCGTACTTTTTCTGGAGTCTCAACATCTTTTTTATAATGCGGTGAACAAAACTGGATGCAGTACTCTAGGTGTGGTCTTACTAAGGCTTTATAGAGTGGTATTAGTACCTCAACTTGATCTTGACTGTATCCCTCTGTTAATACAACTAAGGATTACATTAGCTTTTTTGGTGGCTGCTGCACACTGCTGGCTCATGTTTAGCTGGTTGTCCACTAAGACTCCAAGATCCCTCTCACAGTTATTGCTATTGAGCCTGGTTTCACCCTGTCTATATGCGTACTTTTGGTTTTTCTTGCCTAAGTGTAGGACTTTACTTTTCTCTACATTAAATTTCATTTTGTTAGATATGGCCCAGTGTTCTAGTCTGTCAAGATCCATCTGGATCTTGAGCCTATCTTCTTGGGTGTTAGCTATTCCTGCCAGCTTAGTATCATCTGCAAATTTGGTAAGTTCCCCTTCTATTCCCTCATAAAAGTCATTAATGAAGATATTGAAGAGAACTGGGCCAAAGACGGAACCTTGTGGCACCCCACTGCTTACTTCCCTCCATTCCCTCCATTGTTTCTAGATGTTGTCAGATCTGTTTTTTATTATCTTTTCCAGTATCTTCCCGGGTATCGATGTTAGGCTGATTGGTCTATAGTTTCCTGGGTCTGTTTTTTTTCCTTTTTTGAAGATGGGAACCACATCAGCTCTTTTCCAGTCCTCTGGTAGTTCCCCGGTGCTCCAGGATTTTTGAAAGATATGGTGCAGTGGTTCTGAGATGACCTCTGCCAGCTCCTTTAAAACTCTGGGATGTAATCCATCAGGCCCCAGTGATTTGTGTTCAACAAGATCAGACGGGTGTTCTCTTACTATTTTTTTGCTTATTTTAACTTTTATTTCTGGTCTGTCTTTTACAGTTATGTTTTTGGTGGGTTGAGCTATAGTTTCTTTTTGTGTGAAGACTGATGCAAAGAATGAGTTAAGCAGCTCTGCTTTCTCTCTGTTGCCTGTTACTTCCAAGTGTTGCAGGATATAAAATTATTTTGCTGTCATTTAACCAATCTACAATTTCTTTCATGTTTTGGGCCCTTTGAAGGGCCCTTTTCAAATATATCAACTATGTGTTTTTCAGGATGAAAAAGCAGCACATTCAGAGATTGTCTTGCCCAATGCCAAGGGCAGCATGCCAAATTATAAAACCTATGGCAACCCAATAACTCTAGCATCCTTGTTAAGACAAAGTTGAAATAATCCACCTAAAATAAATGCCAAAAACACATGCTATAGGTGAAGCCTTAGAAATATTACAGTAATTAACTCTTTTGGAGCCTTACCAAACTGTGAGCAAAAAGAAATGCTGAGAATACTTGATGAACTTAACAGCTGGCAATAATCTGTGCAGCAGTCAAAACACTCACTTGGTATCCTTGGATTTGACAATGCAAGAAAGCCTTTATAAATCTCAAGAGTCCTACACTTTAACTCCCTCACCAAAACAGAGAAATACTTCATACTTTAGCAACTCCAAAACAACCTAATTTGCTCTAATCTTGCCAATCTCTAGATGTCAGAGATCTGCTGCATCTTGACTGAGACCAGGAAATGGAACAAAAGGAAATTGCTGTGTCAAGTCACACACCAGTCAAGGCCCCTGGCCTCCTAGTTCAATTGGGCTCAAAGGTCCAATGACATCCAAAGATCAGGGGTGCTACTTGTTAACAAACTCCATTTTGATGAATCACCAAATGAATGCTGCTGGCCCACCTTTCTGCATCCAGGAGGGAGCACATACCAACTGACTCCCAAGATACCCAGGATACATAAAAGCCATCTAATGAATTGATGAATTAATGAATTGATGAATTAATGAGGCAGAACAAATTTGTAACTGTATTGAGCAGTATTTGGAAACTTTTTAATAGGACTCAGCTAGGATTGGAAAAAATTTCAGGAACAAAAAAAGTAGTTCAGGATTTCTATACCTGTCTGCCTGCATACCGCAGTGCAAGCTTCCCACTCACCAATGCCTGCACATCTTCAGGTCTGTAAAAAAGCAAAGCGATATTGATTTACGGAGTCCCTCAACTCAGGCTACAAATGAACCTCACTACATAATCACTGCTTTCCAGAAACATCTGCATTCCACTATCATCTTTACATTAATGTATTTAAAATGCTTTGTGAGAGTGCCAAATAAGCATGAACCAAAGATAATCAAGAGAAAAAGTAACTGTCCATTTGAATATTTGTGACTCTGCATATATAGTTACTTTGGCTTGTAGCCACTGCAAATGCCAGAATTATAAAAAGATCAATAAATATAAACAAAAGCACAAAACAGATTCTGCCATGTTTCAACGTCAAAAACCAAATGACAGTATTGATAGAAGTCATTGGACAAAAATCTTTCTAGAGCTTTCTTTTTCAAATGCCTGCTCATCCTGGGGAAGAGAAACCACGAGAACCTTTGCTTTCTTTCAGTTGTCAGAAATGAGAAGTAATAAAAAATTATATTTCAAGGACCTGCATCTATCTCAATAGTTAACTTAGCCTCCTCAGACCACATCCTGTTTTGACCAGGGAAGCATGTTATAAAAACATTCAATTCTGTTAGATGGCAAGGAACTCAAATATACTGGCCTTTTCACTCTTCTTAAGGACTTGCTTCTAACAAGCACTGCCCAGCTTTCTTAAAGTTAGAACTGAGCTGAAATAGGTAATATTTTGCCAGTGATAATGCAATTCCAATATGTAGAAGTCTAAACAGGAGAGAAGCAAATATTCTATCCTTTGCCCCCTTTCCTGGCTTTTAATTCTCCATTTTTCCTCCTTTAGTATTCATATCTCTTCAACCACCATCAGAATTTGAAATTTAACTTATTCATACAAGAGTTTTGCAAACTGCAACATGTGATCTGATCAGAGCAACTATCATATGTGCAGGTATAAAAAAAGGAAACTAGTACATGTTGCATTCCTTATGTGATAGAATAAAAATCACATACAAGTTTAACATGATCTTGCATAGCAGCATATACTTCAATGAAGTGATGGCTTTGGGGCTGTCAATAGAATCATAACCTTCAAATGCCTCATAAAAATAAGAATATGCTGTCTTCCAGTCCTTTTCTTCTGCTGCATGGATAATACCTATTAAAGGTGAAATAAAAAAGAGGTCTGACTATAACAAAGGAACCTGGGGTACAAAATAAGGGAAAACATTGCTGCCAAGTCCTATTTATTTCTCCAAGCCAGAAAATTCTTGAACTGCAATTTTTTATCCCCTGCCCCTGGGTTGCAGGCTAGGGCAAGGAAAACTAATTTTATGTATATGGCTAGAAATTTTTCTAATTCCCACAAAATTCATTTTCATATACTCATGCAAAATAGCAAATGTAATTTCTTCCAATATTTGAAATTTCACCTAAAATTATTTTGATAACAGCCTGAATGAGATTCAAAACACCACCAACTATATTAAGTAACTGCTAAGTCAGAGAAGCCATGTCAAGGAAGTGATCAAGAGATGTCCAAAAGTATAACTCTGGATAAACTTCAACAAAAGAACATTAGCTAACAATTCAGATAAATTCTGTATCTAGTTGCTAATGACTTCAGCTTAACACTTATAAAAAGAAACATTATTTATCCTTGTTGTAATCTCCCAAGTATTAGTCAGATGTTTCTATTTTGCATGAATTACTCATATAAAATAAGGCAATTTCTTTTCAAAATGCTAGAAGAAATTCAACAATTATAGGTAATCCTTGGGTCACTACTTGTTCAGCAACCATTCAAACCTGCAATGGTGCTGAATGAGTGGGACTTAAAACAGGTCCCTGGAGTTCTAGCTGCTTCAACATTCCCACCATCATGCTTGTGATTACAACATTGCAGCAAGCCGCAGTCATGTGATCGTGATTTCTGATGTTCCCTTCCAGCTTCCCACAAGCAAAGTCAATGGGGAAACTGACAGAGAGTCAGAAGTCATGATAACATGAGGTCCTCACTTAATAATGGCATCTGGGACTGCCGCCACTAAGCAATGCAGTCATGTGATATCATGCTTTACAACCACATTGCTTAGCAATGGCAATTCCAGTCTCAATTGTCATTGTAACCCGAGGACTACCTGTACCATCCAAAGCAGATATTCTCAACCTACAGTAATTCTGAAAAAGATTTATTCAAACTTCTTACAAACATCTTTGGAACATGTTACAATTTTCCCCAGACAAACTGCTTCAGTGTGGTTCTGTCTTATAAGCATTTTTGTACTATTATAACTATTAGACTTTTATCCTGTTGTATAAATAACTCAAAGTATGAACATACCTAATATTCCTGCCTCCTATTTTCCCCACAACCACCACCACCCTGTGGGGTAAGCTGGACCAAGGGATAGTGACTGGCCCAAAGTTACCCAGCCAACTTTTATGCCTATGGAAGGCCTAGAACTCACACTCTCCTGGTTTGTACGACTCCTGTTGACTCAAGATCAAGGCACTCATAATATGAAAAGCACAGAGGCCTTACCCGATTGCTTATCCAATGCTGCCTGCAACTTGGGTGGACAATAGATTGCATTGGCTGTTGTACGGGCAGAGGTTAATGCTGCTCTGGCCTTTGGCAGGTTGCTCAAGGCATGGTAGGTCTTGCTCTCTAGTAACTGTACTTCTACCAACAAAGCCTTGTCATCCATCTTCTTCAACTCCCGCAAAAGCTGTGATCCTGATAAAAGCAACGTGATGGTGGCATTTACACCATGTTAAAGGCCTTCCTCTGAATCCTTTAACTTGATCAGAAAAAGAAAAATCTAATACATTACTTTGATAGAGGTATAGGAAGAGTGAAAACAGTAGATACAAGCCGATACACTAGATGCGAACACTAGTATTTCTCTTTTTCAATATCAGTATAATACTCCCAAAGCTTCCAAATACATCACATGTGCCTAACTAATGGAATCTGCCATTAAGAAGATCTTAACAATATTACTCTTGACAACCTGAAGAACCAAGCATAGTTGCCAGCTACTTAACTATGTCACTGTGAATTTTGTTTCTAAATTGTATCTGAAAAATTCAGAACATGTATTTTATTTCAAGCTTGCAACAAACACATTGGGTTCTGGACATTTTGCCAAACCATTTTGGATTGGCTACAGTTCAACAGGAAAAAAAACATATTTTTTTGTTCTGGGTTTTAGCTAAAACTATATTCTATGGGTGTGTTTTCATGGGATAAGTAGGGCAAAGCTGGTGCATATCACCTTTTTTCTCCCCCCAAGAACTTCCAGTACAGTACATCCCTTTATCCTGCCCACCTCCAATCTTTCTAGCACCTTCCCTGCTCCCCACTCAACTGCCACATTGTCCTAGTACAGGGGTCTGCAACCTTAAACACTCAAAGAGCCATTTGGACTCGTTTCCCACAGAAAACACCGGGAGCCACAAAACCTGGGTGGGTGTGGCCAACTCAACATCACTCACTCCCACCCAGTTACATGACACACACACCCAGCCACGCCTACCCAGGTTTTGTGGCTCCCAGTATTTTCTTTTCTCTGGGAAACAGGTGTATCTCTCTCTCTCATCTATTCCTCTCTCTCATCTCTCTCTTTCTCCCTCTTTCTCTCTCATCTCTCTTTCTCCCTCTCTCTCATCTCTCTCTCTAGTGTGTGTGTGTTCCCTCTTGAACCATTTCCAAAAACAGGCAAGGGTTGGGGTTTTGTTTTTGTTTTTTGCTGATGTTGTTCCTTCTTCTTCTATGGGTGCTTTTTACCATATGATTTAAATCAAGAGTCATTTCAGGTTCCCAGATAAATGAAGTTCTTTCATCCCCCTGCTGTGGCTTCCTGTTGGCTGAACCCATCACTGGCTGGCCCCACCCCTCACCGTCCCCTCCCACTCACTCCTCGCCTGCCCTGAGAAAGGAAGGGCGATGGCGGCGGATAGAGACTGTATTCCAGAGCGGGAGCGAAGCGCCCTTCTATTTGCCTTTTTCCACCCTTATTGGTGCTGCGTGCACCTCGGGGAAGACACGTGACTTGCTCTCAACCCTGAGACACTGACCAAGCCAGCTGCAGCCGATGCTCCACATCATAATGGGCTCCAGGAGGAGGGGACACCATCTCCCCCATTGAGAAGCGTGCTAAGTTTAAGTGTGCTGCACAAGGCACTGCAAGAGCATGGAGGTGGCGACAAGAATATGAGGAGACGCACAACTTCCTCTCTGCCCCGAGACACTGGCTGGGCCAGCTGCAGCTGACACCGCTGCTCTCGCCACCTCCATGGCCTGCTTGCTGTTCTTGCAGTGCCTTGCGCAGCACACTTAAATTTAACACGCTTCACAATGGGGGAGGCAGTGTCCACTCCTCCTCCTGGAGCCCATTACAATGTGGAGCATCGGCTGTGGCCAGGCCGGGCCAGTGTCTTGGGGTTGAGAGCAAGTCATGAGTCTCCCCGAGGTGCATGCAGCACCAACAAGGGCAGAAAAAGAGGCAAGTAGAGGGGCACTTTGCTCCCTCTCTGGAATACGGAACAAGTCTCCATCCACCGCCGTCGCCCTTCCCTTCTCAGGCGAGGAGTGACTGCAAGGGGAGGGTGAGGGCCGGGGCCAGCCAGTGGTGGGATCATCCGACAGGGAGCCGCAGGAGAGGGCCCAAAGAGCCGCATGCAGCTCTGGAGTCACACGTTGCCAACCCCCGTCCTAGTATAACATACCCTGATGACCCACATGATCTGAACCAGCACCTCCCTTCCCTCTTCCAGTCTACCACGTTTCCCAGTATGGCACACCTCAGCAGCCTACCTTTCCACAATCTTTCCAGGATCTTCCCCTCTCCTCATAGCCTCTATAAACACCAGTGGCTTTTATTTTTCTCCACTATTCACTCTTATAACCTACCCCTGAAAACACTTCAGCTTCTAACAAAGATGTTTCAAACCATTACCAAATCAAAAAAAAACCCTATTTCATTCCATGTCCGGCCCAAACACGTTCTCATTTCATGCAAAAATCACTCCCAACTAGTTATTCTATGCATATACTGTTTTACGCATCTCTAGAATAAACCTTATTAATATTAGGGTCAGTATAAGTCAACTTACCTAACTGCAATGCTTCTTGATACCTTTTTGTGTCAAAATACAAAGAAACCAGCCTTGCCTAGAAGAGGGAAAAGTAAAGAATTATCATGAAAACTACTTTATGATTTTCAGATATTTAACTAGAGCTGATTGGTATGAAATATGAAGCAGACAAGACTCCTGGGAAATTACCCATGTTTCAGGAGCAGCAAGAAAACAGAGGAAAAAATATAGTAGAAAGTACATCCATAATAATGCAAAAGAAATCTGTAGAACAAGTACAGGTAATCCTTGACTTATGACCACAATTGAGCCCAAACTATCCACTGCTAAGCGAGACAGTTAAGTGAATTTTGGCCCATTTTTTAGATTAGATTAAACTTTATTGTCATTGCCACAGGCAACGAAATGCAGTTTGCATCTAACCAGAAGTGCAAAACAGCAATAAAGTGTGTGTGTGTGTGTGTGTGTGTGTGTGTGTGTGTGTGTGTGTGTGTATGTATGTA